CACCCTGTACTTAAGCTTATTTAAAGGAACACCAAAATTCTGTAAGAAAGCTAACTTCAAGGGGTAATGATAACATTGTTTACTCTTAAAATTATGCTTTTTTAAAAAATACTACTAGTTATTAATAATGCTTATAAAAGGGGATACTCTGATTAAAACTATGTCACCTCAGTGAAATTGGTTGACACCATTGCTTGTGTTTTTGAGTTATCATGTAATAAAAAAAGAAGCTGAAGAAAGAACAAGAAATTCAAACTTTTTGCTATAATATTTACAGGCATTCCCAGAACTTGTGACTCAGTCATTACATAGATATTATTAAAAGGAAAGACTGCATAGTATTGTAAAGTTCTGATGACCTATTGAGGATATATTTAAAATACCATTTCGATGAACAATCCGAGCCATCCCTACATAGACAGTGTTATTGCCTGCCTGATAAAAGAATGATGCTTCAAATATTTTCATGTCAAAATTGGTTAAATGTTGAGTAAACGAGAGTACTCAATTTGCAGTTACACAACAAGTCAAAATCAGTATGAATTACAGTACAATTCTTTACAAATAATAATAAGTCGGTAATTCTAGGGTATGATTTTATTTACAGCCAGAATCAAATATTTTGAGTAAAAGTGTGAATTACAGTACAATTCTTTACAAATAATAATAAGTCGGTAATTCTAGGGTATGATTTTATTTACAGCCAGAATCAAATATTTTGAGTAAAAGTGTGAATTACTGTACAATTCTTTACAAATAATAATAAGTCGGTTATTCTAGGGTATGATTTTATTTACAGCCAGAATCAAATATTTTGAGTAAAAGTGTGAATTACAGTACAATTCTTTACAAATAATAATAAGTCGGTTATTCTAGGGTATGATTTTATTTACAGCCAGAATCAAATATTTTGAGTAAAAGTGTGAATTACTGTACAATTCTTTACAAATAATAATAAGTCGGTTATTCTAGGGTATGATTTTATTTACAGCCAGAATCAAATATTTTGAGTAAAAGTGCTTACAAATAGTTTTAAAAACGTGATTATAAAATGCTAGTTCAAAGTTCAGTTACAACTGAGATTTGAATCAGAAAATGACACCATTATATTTTATTGTACATCAGTAACTTAATCTTCATAGTTATAGAAAATGATATATATATATATATACAGACACATCTGTATATTCTGTTTTGAATTAAACAAGGTTTTAACTTCAATGAAATTCTGCCCAAAATTAACCTTTTATACAGTTCATTTTAATCATGTGCACTACAAAGTAATTTCATTAATGACATTGGCTTCTGAATGCTGTATTTAGTGCAGTCTCAATATGCCTTAGGAAGTGCTAATTTTATTGTGTGAACGTTTAAAAATCATCAAATAATTAGTGGACTTTAATTTACTTTCTAAAGTACAGACACTTTATTTAAAACAACAATAATTACATAAACCTTTTTATTTACTTGGTAGAATCTTGCTAACATTTACACCAAACAAGAAACTCAACTGAAGAAGGTTGATGCTATGCATTTGTTACCTTCATGTTCACATTTACTGCTAATTTTCTGCATCAGTATTCTTTTTCTTATTATAAATTACCATTATAACACTTTTTTATACATTTCTACAGCTAACAACATAATGAAGAGAACTGAAATCATCACAGTAGTCAAAGTCAGTTCTGATAATGTTACCATCTTCTCAATTTTAGAAATCATTTCAGAATGTTTTTGTAATGTACAGTCATCAAGTTTATTATTTTGTTAACTATTCTAATCAATTTACTGATAAAATTCACACAATACAGTATCCTAATTGTAATGCATGCATATATATATATACTAAGCTACTTGATTTTTTTTTCATAAAAATTAAGAGGATGGAGTGTCGAAAAATATCCTCCGATGTCAACTTTATCTGTTTGAAATTAATTCACATCAAGGGCTTTGAAGATAAGAATTTAAAAAAAGGGTTAAAACAAAACAACAACAGGAAGTTTAGGAATTTATATTATTTTAACCTGGAATATGTTCACAAATTCTGTGATGAAAAGTTATAACAGTTTTAGATTTGCCAAACATTAATAGCTAAATCAAAAATTTCAATAACCCACAAAAACTATGACATTCTTTCACTAAGAGGGATGATTGGAGCATAATCTGCTTGAATAACAATACAACAGTGCTTCGATGAAATATATGCATATAGAAAGCTTTACAGTATACAATTGAAGCATTAAATAACGATTTTGGTCTTGAAGCTATAACAATCACACTAGATTTTACTTCAAGACCAAAATCTGTATTTTAGAGTTTAAAAAAAAGCCATATCTAACTCTTAAAACCTTATGTATGACTGGTGCTGAAAATAAACTATCAAATGTCTTAATTGCATAGTTAATAGTTTATTGAATATTACTCTGCGTTAATTACCTATTTATATCTGTTAGTCTTAATCAGAAATAACAGCTAATGCTATCACAAGTATTTAATTTGTGACTGGATTAAGCATTTGTTTTCGGTACAAGTAGTCTAACCTTAAACAGACTTTTATTAGGCAACATTTTGAGCAACTCCCCCTTTTAAAGTCATGTTTAAGCCTATCAGTACAAGGGGCTTTAAATAGAACAATTGCCCAAAAATTACTTTTGATGATAGTAATCTGCTTATTTTTCATGAATTTTCCATCATCTTTGCATTCATTTTTCAAAACTCATGATTAACAGTAACCAATGTCTTTCGAGACAGATTTAAAATCTTATATAATAATAAGAAAATCACACAAACATTTAACAAAAAATATATAACATAGGTAAATTAATATGTAGAATTATATATGGAATTTTACCTACGTTAAAATACTTTTCTTGTCTAGATTTTGGCCCTCTTACTGGAGCTTCCAGAAATTTCGCAAATAGAAGTATTTTAACGTAGTGAAAAATCCATGTATAATTTAAAAAAATAAATATATAGTTCTGACTAGCAAGATATATTATACTATCAAGAGATGAAGAGTGTTTGTATACTGCTACACCTAAATTCAGTCTTTTTTTTTAATCTCAACCTTGCTAGGGAAAAGGATTCTCCATTGAGAATTAGAAAGTTAAGATATCTTTCTGGCCAACGTGTACCATTATATTGCACTTATCCCCCTTTATTTTTGAGAAAATCATAATTGATTATGTACAGTGTTAAATATTCTATTTGTTCGTGTGAACTGAGTCTTAATTTATTCTATTTGTTCATGTGAACTGAGTCTTAATTTATTATTTTTTTGTGGTGAATCTTGCAAAACTGAATACAATTATAAATTAAACACAAAACTGCTCATAAATAAAAATAATATTTACAAACACTTTTTATAGATGAACTATCCAACCTATGAGGATTATGCACGATAAAGTAATAAATGAAATGAACCTGTTATTATTATATTAAATTTAATCTCATTACACGTTAAAATGCACTAAGGTTTTCTTTTCCTATGTATAAATAAAAATAATATTTACAAACACTTTTTATAGTTGAACTGTCCAACCTATGAGGATTATACACTATAAATAAATAAATGAGATGAACCTGTTATTATTATATTAAATTTAATCTCGTTACACGTTAAAATGCACTAAGATTTTGTTTTCTTATGTATTCGCTGTTTCAGGTGAAGGTTTTAGGTGTATTGCACAATGTTTGCTCAATTCTTCTGTTTTAGTAAAGCTTTTCTTACAGATGACACAACTAAGTAATATATTTTCAGAGTGACGGAAGCTATGCTTTCTCAGTGTTGAACTTTCTTTAAACCTCTTGCCACACATATCACAGCTGAAGGGTCTTTCTCCAGTATGGACTAACTGATGCCTTTTCAAATATCCACTTATCCTAAACCTTTCACCACAAATGTCACAACCGAATGGTTTCTGTCCAGTGTGGATCAATTGATGTTGTCTTAAGTTTGAATCTAGTGAAAATCTTTTCCCACATATATCACATTTGAATGGTCTCTCTCCAGTGTGAACAAATTGATGTCTTTTTAAGTGGTGACTACGTGTAAACCTTTTACCACAAGTGTCACAAACATATGGCTTATGTCCAGTATGAATAAGTTGATGTTGCTTTAAGCCTGCATTTAATGAAAACATTCTCCCACAGATATTACAACCAAGTTCTTTTTCTCCAGTATGGATTAATGAATGTCTTTTTAAACTCACTACATAAGTAAAGCTTTTCCCACATACATCACAACTAAATGGTTTTTCTCCAGCATGTGCCATCTGATGTTTTCTTAGGTAATCTTGTGTGAATTTTTTTCCACAAACATCACATCTAAATCGTCTTATATAATGTATGTCTCCAGTGTGGATCAGCTGATGCTTTTTTATGCTTCCTTTCTGCTTGAACTTTTTTCCACATATGTCACAGCTAAATGGTTTGTCTTTAGTGTGTGTTCGCTGATGTTGTCTTAAGCTTTCTTTCTGTGTGAATCTCTTCCCACAGGTGTCGCAACTGTATCTACGTTCTCCTGTGTGTATTACCATATGTCTGTTAACACTACTGGATCTGTCAGAAGAGTAACTACACAGTTGACATTTGTGCTTCTTTCCGATTACAGTATCTTCATGACTTTCTTTATGCTGCATAAGAAGTAGCCACCTTGAAAATGTTTTTCTACATTTGCTACAAGAGTATGTCTTCAAGTCTGAAAAAAAACAAATATGAACAAATAGTTATCTGTTTTTTTTCTTATTTCTTTAAAATTTTGCACATTAATCCTCTTCCAAAAAATGAAAGTTTAGTAAAATTGAAATCAACTCACAAATTTATAAGGCATTTTTATAATTTAAGTTTTCACTATGTATATATATATATATATATCATTTGTCAAAAAATCACAAACTTAAAAACTTTTTTGCCTCAAACATCTAAGATTACAAAACAGACTCAACTAACCCAACATAATGATTTTTTTTATCGTCCTTTAATGCTTTTCAAGTACACAATGAAATCAAATTCCAAAAAACTATGGCAATTAATCATAATTTCATCTTATGAATTATTATAGGATTCACAAGTTAGTCCTGACAATTCTTCTTAACTTCAAAAATACATTCTCACAAGAACTTTACTAAAGTTACATTTCTCAAAAAAAGTTTTACTGTAAATTATTTTAGTATATGGGGCAAAACCCTAATGACATTAAATGTGCTTATAAAATTACCTGTCTATTCAATTAATTCTTATTAGTTACCAACAAAAGGCTTGTTCAAAATCTCAAAGAATTTATATTTGTATATACATGTACACATGTAAATATTTTAACTAGATTTATAACTAATTCATTGTGTAAATTGTATACATTTAAATCTTAAGCCTAAACTAAACGATACCCTTAAAAACTTGAAAAACACACAAGACACAGCTATAAATAAGGACTGATAAACATCTGATGTAAATAATAATGTGAAGCTTTTCATTTAACTGGTTATAAATAGAACACTATTAAAATATTTACCACAGATAAGTTAATAACCTGGAAAATATAGACATAATTGTTATATACAACTACAACAATAAGTAGAGTTGTTAACAAACTATGGAATAAACATTTAAGCTTGGTTTGTTTGGAATTTCACGCAAAGCTACACAAGGGCTATTTGTCCCTAATTTAGCAATGATAGACTAGAGGGAAGGTAGATAGTCAACACCACCCACCGACAACTTTTGGGCCACTCTTTTTACCAACGAACAGTGGAATTGACCGTCACAATATGACACTCCCACAGCTAAGAGAGCGAGCACATTTGGTGACTGGGATTCAAGTACCCGCGACCCTCACATTGCGAGTCGAGCACCTTAATCACCAGGCCATGCCTTGACATATTAGTTTAGAATAGTTTTGACAATTCATCTCTACCTAGAACTACAACTGTGATGGTGTGAATGCCTTTTCCAAGTTGGTGAAGCATGACTATAATCAATTATACTTGTTATAAGACATTAGTCTCATGACAAGTATAATTAAGTTACCAAGAATTCATAATACTTCATCCCATTCCATTTAATTAATTCTGTTCAATATCAAGAAATGTGAAAATTTGTTTCAAAATCTAATCATAATGGATTAAAAATACTCGTCAAGATTAAGTCTTAGATCCCAAATATTCCTTTGAAACTGTTATTAAGGAAATTTTCCAACAGCATCAGACAAGTATTACTTTTAAGTAAATATGGTGCCTTACAAAAGAAGTAAAATTTTATTAGTCATACATTAGGTATTGAAATATACAAAGAAACAAAAAGTGCATCACCTTCAAATTTATCAACTTATAATTTCATCAATCAAATTTTTTTTTTTAAAAAAAGCTTCTGTTAGACTTTGTCAGTTTTAATATACAAATATTAAATTTTAAAGTTTGCTTTAAAAATGATAAAACTAATTTTCTCTTTGTAACTTTTTTTGCTTGCATTACTTCAAAAGTAATTACAAAGTTGGCCTCTTTTTTTCTTTTTATGGAGGGTGTTACGACTTGACTCAAAATACTTATAGTATTTTGGCACTTGTGTATAAAGTTAAA